CTGAGTGTCAGTAGACCACCTGCAGAATTGCTTAGCAGTACGACGTCAATGGCATATTCAAGGTTAATTAGGATACTGCCGTTTATCTTGAACTGTGTCCCCGACTAGCAGTCAGTCGCTCATTGTCACTTGTGACGATGCACTTCCAAAATATGTAGTCCGCCATGACGTTGAATAAGAAAGGAGAGAGCTCCTCGCCTTAGCGAACTCTTCTGGTTATTTTATTGAACCTGTTCGAGAATGATCTTTCGGTTCGGACGGCGGATTTACACCCTCGTACAGACTTCTGTCAGGTTTACCATTGCCTGTAGAATCCGTTTCTGATGAAAAATTGAACTGAAGACTGACCGTAAGTCCAGAAACAGCATGTTGCAAGCATTGCTTTTTATGCGCATGAATGCCCACTTCAAAAGCGTATTTAGTTAGTTCGCAGCAAGCGATCAATCGATCTCCTAGTTGTCCAAGAATAGTAACGCAAAGATTTTTACCAAAACCAGCAGGAGTGTCTTTCCTTGATAGCTGGTACAGTCAGTGCGATCCCGACTTATGAAGATCAGGATTATCACGCCTTTCTTCTAGTCTTTGGCTATCACTAACTTTTGCCAGTTCCGGTTCATTCCTGTGTCTAAATGTCGTCGAGCTTCACAGATTCGTATTACCTGGCAAATTTTTTCGATTGATGGTGGGACGCTGTTCACATCTAGATTTTTCCAACTTCCTCTTCCATTTGAAGATTTACCAGAGAATTAGGTTTATTGAGGAGTCTGCTAAGGTTTCCGACGGCCTTTGGGGTCTTTCGGCTGCTCATTTAGCTTGTTGTGTAACCGAATAGGGATAGGCTTTTGTTTGCTATTGCTGATGATGCTCATTTGACCATACAGCATCTTCCAGGCCCCTTTTGCTGATGCGTCTTCTGGCTTCTGCTTTCTGGGATCTAGCTCTCGTTGCCTGTCCTGGTGTAGCTTTTATTAGCCGCTTTGACGAGAAGGCGATGTGCTCTTTTTTTCACGCCATCGTCACACCTCATTTAAGATGATTTAGAGATTTAAATTTTGAGTCGTGACAAAGGGATACTTCATCTTTCTTTTTCTGATACCAGTGATATTGGCAGCCGAGTGAAGATGCCTTCTTTAAAGCGGACGTTGTGCAGCGCTTGGTCTTGGCAGTCAGTCCGCTGTCGCTCGCCATCTGGAATACCTCGCATCTGGTAGATTCCAGTATTTTCATATCAGAGCGGTAGTACCCCCTTTTCAAGATGT